ATATATTTATATATACATATATATATATATACATATATATATATATATATATATGTATTTATATATATATATATATATATATGTGTGTGTGTAGTTAATGGTTAAGGTTAATGTATATGTATATGAATATATATATATATATATATATATATATATTGAAGTACATGTTATAATATTAGAGTTTATAGTGATTGATACTGATCGGTGTATTGACGAACAGTACAATGTAATCGCATGGTGAGTGTGACTTTTTATCGTGTTCCTTCGCACACTACACTCACCGACATCTCGGTCATATTGTGATGCTTTGAGCTATGGATTGTATGCCGAACTATTCCAATCTAAAATTTCTGTTGTACATCAGGCGCTGTTTGTCGCTTTGATTCCTTTCAGCTGTTATGTGCCCAGAGGACAGTGGGCTTGCAAGTCCGTAGTGGGTTGTAGAACTACTTTATAAATGTCCTGAATTCCTTGACATTGCATGTGTCCGAGATACCATCAATAGTTTTCTGTGCTATTGTGACTCTTGATGGCATATTGACACGATGAGCCAATCGCCCAATACGTCTTTGTATATTATATTGAATGACGAAAATACCTATACACATATAGTACATAAGAGAGCGAGGAGGCTCAAGCGATAGTCATTACGGTCTTAAGGTGCCTCAAGCAAGTTGTGTTGCTTATAGATTGAAGTGTGGGACTGAGAAGGTACCCTGCATGCTTACTTGGCCCTATCAACTTGTATAAACATAAAGCTTTCCTTGGCATATTGACACTCACAACTAAACGTACTCCCTTTTCCTCGCCAGATAACGATAATGATAGTATGATCATCAATTTCGTGCGATGTCGGCGGGTGGCACAGGTTGTTACAGACCTGTTGCAGCACCAGCAGTCGCCTTACAACTTAAGGCTGTGCAGAGACGTCCGTGAGTACGTACTTTATCTTAAAGCAGGAGTACCTGACGAACTATACACCCAATCCCTACTATTGGAGCCCCGCAATTCAGGTACGTGTTTGGGTGGGTAGTGTGTATGGTATCGTAGCGGCGGGTTTTGTGCACATACTTGCATGAAGATTACTTCTGAAATACGCTATCTTCCGCATCCACCTTCGCAGCTTAACAGCACGCTGAGCAGATAGCAATAAGCACCATAGGTGTTAGCGTATGCCTCCCGCAGCGGACTCGCAAATACATAGGCACGCGCCAACACTCCCACCTCAGGAACCTGCAAAATTGATCGCAACGCTATTCCCTTTTAGTTGGCGTTGGCATTTTGTTTATTTTCCTATCGTTCGTGGGCTCTGTGTATAGCCTAAGCTCTTAACTGACCACTGTTGCACTCCACCTACGCTTGCAGGCACCTTGGACGCTGAGGGGAACTTGATACGGGCCCCCGCAAACAGTGATGTGTCGAGAAGCCATACCATATGCCGTGCACACTATCTGCACAGAGTGGCCGCTATGAAAGCAGAGGTAGTTCCATACAGAGTGCCGTACGCTAGTGGTATCCGAGAGATGTAACGCTTGTGAGCTAGTACAGTCGGTATCATACTACAGTAGGTATTATTTTCTTACCGATCACATTGCCGAGATTGTAGGCCTCTAGTATCCATCAACCTGTGTCTTGGCATGCCATATCATGTACCTCACATACTATCGATTCGTATACGAGTGTTGATCATTTTGTTTACCCCTAACGCACACTGCCACTCAAAATCCCCACAAACTAAACACTGCTCTCGGGACACCGTTCTATTGTTATTTAATTCAGGCAGAAAGTTCTGACATCAACGACAAAAGACGGTCAGCACCGGGCTCGGCGTGCCCAACATTCATATAACTAATCGCGTGTATAATATAGGCATACTCCATCTACTGCCCACCATTTCATCCAGCCACTCATGACACCAACAACAAATATTTTCTTCCATATCTCATTAATAAATATTACCACTGGGATCCCTAATACCCCCCACTTCTAGGCTGAGAGCTCTAATATAGTTGTCACAAGACGCCAAGCACCCCGCCCACAGTCCATGGGTGGTATCGCTAGTCCCACTCCAATCCATCCGCTGCGGCTGAGTCAATCGAACAGAGAGAGGTCTGGTAGGCCAGCGTATAAGTCGATGTCCGAAAGCATCCAGGAGGCACCCCCACCCCAACGCCCACCAAGACGGTGCTCTGCTGCACCAGACAGTTACTCTGCGTATGTACTGTGGTTTGTTTGGCTGTACAGAAAGCGTTTTCTAGCATTGTAGTGAAATGTTACACTGGAATGACATTTGAATGGAATTGAGACACGATTTGTCGCAAGCACAGCCGAAGTGGCGTATACCGCGATAGTGCGTCACGTGAAAGTGTCTTCAATTATTTTCTACTTCAATGGCTACTGAATTTACTGCCTGTCTGATTATTTGGCATGTAATAACTTATCATTGTTCACTGTAAAGTAAGGTTTTCGTCTATACGTTGGTTTTGAATGCATGCGCATAAACATATGCGAATTCAAACTTATTGATTTTTTTCCCATGTATACAGCATCCATACCGTCTGAAACTATGTTTTATCCATTATAGCAGTAATCCCAGGGCAACAACCCGTGCCACGGTCGGTGTGATAAGGAAGCAGCGCGCAAGCTCTCCAATGACATCTAAGCGGATGACACCTTTAGTATCGCACTTGTCAGAGCCGGAGGTCGCCCCTGCAAGACCACCACGCAGGTCAGCGTTGCCTCCATGTCCGTCACTGCCTTCCGCGTGATTAAGATTAAACGAACCATATTGCCATGTGAGGTCATACTACTTGGTAGTATATGACAACGATATTGTTGCATCCGTTGCAAACCACATAGCAACACTGGCTGCAAGTGCGCGACCACCCCCTGTGTGATATGTTCATAAGCCTAACGGATAGCAATTCAAATTATATTGTTGCATTCGTTGTAAACCCACACTGCAACAACTGGCTGCAAGTGGGCGATCGCCCTCTGTGTGATAACTTCATAAGCCTAACGGATAGCAATTCAAATTATATTGTTGCACAGACAGTTAAATTCCATGTTAAAAGTTGCGTTCAATACGCTATGCAACCGCCACAAATCAACTGTTGCGCATTCTTTTAGTCTAGTAAGTTGTAATCCGTACATGTCGCGTGTAAATGGGGAACTGTCAATCAGTCATAAAAAACAATAAAAAACAAGGCCTTCAATTATTAATATTTTCAAGCAAATAAAGTTTTATTTTAAAACAAGCACTGAGCGGCTGGGACCCGCGGCCCGCCCCTGGGTGTGTAAATAGTGTATTTATTTATTTATTTTTAAAACAAAACGAATATTGTGTACAGCATGGCCAACGCCCAACTATAAACAAGAAATATTTTTAAAACAATTATATAAATATTTACATATGTAAAATATGCACAGTAAATACATATACAAACACCAAAACCAAATATATTAGGAGGCTATGATGGAGTAAATATTATGAGGGGAGGTGTAAAAGAATGTTAAATATTTTGAAGCTGAAGATCTCGGTGATTTATCTATTTGACCTTGCTTTTTTTTGAATGGCCATTTCGCATTACAGAACATAATTATTTTATTTATAATACATATACTGTTTTATTTTTGTTTTATTTGACTTTAAACAAAACCAATAAAAGATAATTTTAATTGTTTAGTTTTATTTTATAACAAAAAAAACAAGAAAAAGTCAAAAGAAATATGTAAGAGAATAAAAAGGCAGATTTCGTCTCACTTGGTCATTTTTCAACTATATAATATATTGCGTGTCGTGGAATATATTGATTTCGTTGTTGAGATATCTATCTGTGCTTCTCAACTTTGACTCTTAGGAACGTGGTGTATTCACCGCCGTACACAATATATATCCATAAAGGCATAAACACTTCCTAAAATAGCGCACATACGGTACTTTATACGTATGGATGAGTCTGACACGGACAACGAAGCATACGCAGGAGATTTCAGAATGTCAACCGGAGAATCTGAGATAGCACCAAGAGTTTGTGGCTGGTGTCGGATGAACGATATCACGCAGGCCTGTCCGTGCTTGCGAAAGGTGTACTGCGAAGAGGAGTGTTATGTATGTTTATATAGCAATAAGCGTCCAGCTATTGCATGCCTATTTCAACTGTTGCGTGTGCTTATGCATATTTGTGCTTATGGCCGGATGAAGTTAACGCATCTGTGACAGGATGAATTCGTCGCTGCAGACTAACTTGTATACGTACATAGTAATAAAACTTATAGACATATACCTATAATAGATGACCTAGATACTGCCGTATATATATACATATATGTACATATATAAATATATATATATATATATATATACATATATATATATATATATATATATATATATATATATATTTGTGTAGTATAATTATTATCTACTATACTTATACTATA